TCTGGCTGCCATTCGTTGGACCATTTGAAGCTTCTGGACAAGACAGTCTTCAAAGGTAATCCCACATAGAGCGCGCTGCAGTAGTCTATACGGGATGTAACCAGAGCGTGGACTACTGTGGTCAGATCAGACTTCCCAAGGTACGGGCGCAGCCGGCGCACAAGTTTTAACTGTGCAAATGCTCCCCTGGTCACCACCGAGACCTGGGGTTCCAGGCTCAGCGATGAATCCAGGCTCACTCCCAAGCTGCGAACCTGCGCCTTGAGGGGGAGTGTAACCCCATCCGACACAGGCTGTAACCCTATGCCCTGTTTGGCCTTTCGACTGACCAGGAGGACCTCTGTCTTGTCTGGATTCAGTTTCAATTGGTTTGCCCTCATACAGATCGTCACAGCGTTCCACAATAGACAAGCACGGATCAATGTGGGACTGAATTGTGGAACGACTCAGACAATGTTTTTTGGACGAGATGAATAGTGAGGGCATTGGTTTGATATATTTTAATGGTTTCTATTGTATTATTTTATAAATTTGTTTAAATGTTTTAAATGTTTTACTGTATACTGTTATGGCATCAAATAGCTGTCGAGTTGTAAGCTGCCTTGAGGCACCTTCAAATTCCAGAAAGACGAGATAGAAATATTGTAAATAAATAAATGCCTGCTAGCTAGGGAAGGTTTTCCCTGACATTCAGTCCAGTCGTGTCCGACTCTGGGTGTGGGTGCTCATCTTCATTTCTAAGCTGAAGAGCCGGCGTTGTCCATAGACACCTCCATGGTCATGTGGCCAGTATGACTGCATGGAGTGCTGTTACCTTCCCGTCGGAGGGTTACCTATTGATCTACTCACATTTGCATGTTTTCGAACTGCTAGATTGGCAGAAGCTGGGGCTGACTGCGGGAGCTCACACCGCTCCCCAGATTCTAACCTGAGAACTTTTGGTCAACAAGTTCAGCAGCTTAGTGCTTTAACCCACTGCGCCACCTGCTAGCTGGACTGTAATTAAAACCTGCTAATGAGAACTGAAAAAGTAAACTGTGATAAGAACTGTGACGATATGAGAAATGTTCACAATGTTAGGAAGGAAGTCAACGCAAGGCTAACGCCAATCATGAAGAGTCAACATCTCTCCAGGAAACTTTGATGGAGTCAACCTATTCCAGGATGTATAGGGCTTTCTCGGTAGTGGCCCCTCAACTCTGGAACTCTCTCCCTAAGGACATCAGGCAGGCCCCGTCGCTAGCAATCTTTAGGAGGAGCTTAAAAACATGGATGTTCCAGTGTGCCTTCCCAGAATAAGGAAACTCCGAGCATTATGTCCCAACGCACTTGATCAGAGATTGAGGATATCTGTATGCCCACCCTCCTCCAAACACCCACCGATCGTGCCCAGAACCTTTTAATTTTAATTATTACATTTGGCCCGGCCATTGTTTTTAACTGCGTCACTACGTGCTGTTAATGTTACTGCTTGTTTTTGTTTTATTTTGCTGTATTATTGTTGTTGTTGTTTATTGTTGTATTTTGGTCTCGGCCTCGTGTAAGCCGCACCGAGTCCTTCGGGAGATGGTAGAGGGATACAAATAAAGGATTATTATTATTACTATTATTGTTGTTGTCATTATATAAAACATACATGATCCAGTAGTCGCCATCTGCTCACCCACAGAAAACCATATTTAATAACTTAGATGTGGTCTATCCAAGGCAATTTTATTATTTATGCAGCACCCCAAATAACCCCAGGAACAGGCCCAAACACCTAGAAAACCCAGAAAAAATGGGTTGGGCTGTGTGGCTATCGGTGGAGTAACACTCCTGTTAAAAAAAGATGGGGAGGGGGCTGAGGTTGAAAAACAAAAAGTGGAGCACGAGAGCCAAGATACGGTCCCTGCCAGCTTTCACAGAAATAATAATGATAACAACCACAACTTTGGAGGATTAAGCAGGGTCGGACAAGGGCTGCTTTCCCATAACAACACTTGTGTTTGGCAACAGGAGCTAGCAGCAGCAGCAGCACTTGCTTTGGGGGAGTCTCGTCTCCTCCCTCTCCCTCTCCCTCTCTCTCCTCCAATGGCGTCAGGGAAGCCACGAGAGGGCGAGGGCAATGGCAATGGCCTCCTTCCTTCCTTCTCTCTTTCCTCTCCAACGGCCCCCCCCCCCCCCCCGGAACTTACTTTAGGTCTCACATATACAGGTTGGGAACCACTGGTCTGAAGCAAGCGTGAATGTTGCAATTGGCAAGCTTGAATAGCATTTAGTAATAATAATCTATGCTGATGATCGTGCCATTACTGCTCAAGCAGGGAGCTTTGAGACGGTGGAACAGAAGCTCTCCGAAGCTCTAGGTGCCCTTACTGCCTATTACAGGGAAAACCAGCTGATCCCCAACCCATCTAAAACACAGACATGTGCTTTCATCTCAAGAACAGACAAGCATCCCGAGCTCTGAGGATCACCTGGGAAGGAATCCCACTGGAGCATTGCGACACACCCAAATACCTGGGAGTCACTCTGGACCGTGCTCTGACCTACAAGAAGCACTGCCTGAACATCAAGCAAAAAGTGGGTGCTAGAAACAATATCATACGAAAGCTGACTGGCACAACCTGGGGATCACAACCAGATACAGTGAAGACATCTGCCCTTGCGCTGTGCTACTCTGCTGCTGAGTATGCATGCCCAGTGTGGAACACATCTCACCACACTAAAATAATGGATGTGGCTCTTAATGAGACATGCCGCATTATCACGGGGTGTCTGCGCCCTACACCACTGGAGAAATTACACTGCTTAGCCGGTATTGCACCACCTGACATCCGCCGGGAAGTAGCAGCCAATAGTGAAAGGACCAAGGCAGAGACATCTCCAGCTCATCTCCTGTTTGGGTATCAGCCAGCACGTCAACGACTTAAATCTAGAAATAGTTTTCTAAGATCCACAGAGACACTCGCTGGAACACCTCAGCAAGCGAGAGTCCAAAAGTGGCAGGCTCAAACCCAGAACCTCAACCAATGGCTGATACCAAATGAGAGACTCCCCCCTGGGCACACAGAGGACTGGGCGACTTGGAAAGCACTGAACAGACTGCGCTCTGGCACCACGAGATGCAGAGCCAACCTTCAGAAATGGGGCCACAAAGTGGAATCCTCGACATGCGAGTGTGGAGAAGAGCAAACCACTGACCACCTGCTGCAATGCAACCTGAGCCCTGCCACATGCACAATGGAGGACCTTCTTGCAGCAACACCGGAAGCACTCCAAGTGGCCAGATACTGGTCAAAGGACATTTAACCAACTACCAGACTCACAAGTTTTGTACTCTGTCTGTTTGTTTGCTTTGTTCTGTTATAAATGTAATGTAATGGACTGGATGCTCTGACATGACAAATAAGATAGCAATAATAATATCAACAATAATATTAATATGCTTAGAATAATATTTATACATAATCAACCCACACCGTTTTGTGAACCCTTGCTGGCTGTTGTACACTAATGTGGATGTTTTGTGTAGATTGATGTTATTATAGAATTTTGTCTGACTACGTGTAGTTTAATTTATTGATGTTAAGTTTAATTTACTGATGTTAGGCTTTAATTTGATGTTAGCTTTTAATGTTACCTTCATATGTGGGGTTCTCTGGGATTTTAGGTTAGTACTGTATGTTTATGTAGGCATTGAATGTTTGCCATTGTTATGCTGGAATCTGCCCTGAGTCTCTGCGGGGAGCATACAAATGTTGTTATTATTATTATTATTATTATAAACACAACAAGATTAGTACACAGCAAACAACATCACTATACTGGTTATTGTATTGGATCACACGTTGGACACTTCCCAAGTATCTAGGACTACGTGCAGATTCGAGTAGGGTGGCCTTTTGCAGCTGACAGGTGGTAATTTTGTCAGCGCTGATTGTGTTTAAGTGCAGGCCAAGGTCTTTAGGCACTGCACCCAGTGTGCCAATCACCACTGGGACCACCTTGACTGGCATGTAAGACATACCTGTTTCGACAGACCTTTGATCTTTGCTATTGCTGTTTTTAAATTGTTTAAATTGTTTAAATTGTGTTAGATTTTAGCCCTTTCTTGTAAGCCGCTCCGAGCCCCAGGGGAGTGGCAGCATATACGTTTGAATAATAAATAAATAAATAAATAAATAAATAAGCTTTTTCACTTATTTCTCTTCAATCCTGCATATTAATAATAATAATAATAATAATAATAATAATAATAATAATAATAATAATAAGGGACCTTGGCTGGAAGGGACCCCAATGGCTGCTCGCCCCAACCCACTGCATCACTCCGGCAAGCAAGGCTTACTGCTGTTGGATAGCAAAGCATTCAGGAAATTAGTCTGCATGTCGTTCATGCAATGTAATGTCACCCAAGCCCTGCCAATCATCCAGACTGTACTGCAGCCATGTTGCAATATTTACTTACTTACTTACTATGCCTATATCCCGCCTTTCTCGGCCCCGAAAGGGACTCAAGGCGGTTTACAGCAGAGGCAATAATTCAATGCCTTAAAACAATTCAATAATTAATTAAACATTCAGCTAAAAATCTAAACGAGATTAAAAACCAATAAAACATAGACATATCCACAAAGACGTCCCATTGAGGAAGAGGAAGAAGAGGGGGAAAGGCTTCCTTTCTGCTGCTCTGGAGACGCAAGAGACAACAGAGCCAGGAGTTCAAACAGCAGGAAAAGGAATTGTGTTAAACATGAAGAAGGACTTCCTAAGAGTAAGAAGAAGAGCTGTTCAGCAGGGGAACTCTCTGCCTCGGAGTCTGCTGAGAGCTCCTTCTTGAAAGGATTTAGTCAGAGGCTGGGTGGTCATCTGTCGGGAGGGTTTAGGATTGTGTTTTTTTGCCTGGCAGAAGGGGCTGGGGCTGGATGGCCCTTGGGGTCCCTCCTAACCCTCTGGCTTCTGGGATTCCTCATGTCTCAGTCCTAGGCCAAGGCCTCCTCCTTCCTCCACCTTACCTTCCTGCAGCTGCTGGTCCTTCTCCACTTCGGGCCGGAGCTTCTTCTGCAGAGGCTCCGCCATTCCCGCTGCCCTGGAGCCTCTCTCCTTTCCGCAGGACGGCCTTCTCTGCCGAGGGAAGGATCCGGGTTATGAGTCTGGGGACATTTCCAAAAAAGGAAAAAGCAGTCAACAAGGGCAAAGCGGCAACAACCACCGTTCAGCAGATCAGGAGTTTCTGGTGCTTCTGCAATTCAGGGAGCAGAGTCAGTCTTTGAAAAGTAACACTAGACTTGATTCAAAGAGCTACATAACTAGACAGGAAAGTTGACAGAACCTGGCCACCTAAGTAACCGCAGACATCTTGTCTCTCTCCATGCTCACAGGAGAGGAAGGTGGAGGATTCAGGGGCTGGCTGTGTGCTCAGAAAAAGAGTTGTGTTGCTGGGATGCATCCCTCTAACATGGAAAATATAGGAGAGAAAGGAAAGCAGGCAGGTAAACAGAGAGGCCAATGGGGGAAGGAGGGGCTTTCCCCTGCCACTTAACCCACCTGCCTATGCAAGGCCTCAGCGAGGACTACAACCTCAGAGTTTTTAAATAACTGATGTAATGTTTAGATGTTTCAATTCTTTGGTTTTGTGTAAATGTTTATTTTAATTATATGATGTTTCTAAGGCATCGAATTGTTTCCTATGTGTAAAGCCGCTCTGCGTCCCCTTCGGGGTGAGAAGGGCGGGGTATAAATATGGTAAATAACAAACAAACATATAAGACAAAGGCCACTGGTTTCAATCCAAGCGGAGAGGGCTTTCTTAGCCTGCCCTGCAAGGGGTCGGGGGTCCGACGCTGCGGCTCTTTGTGTTGGGGGACCAGAGGATGCTTCTGGCTCTTATTATTAGCGAGAGTAATGAGGAAGGAGAGGCAGCTCTGGCCTGGGCGGGTCCAGGAGGTCACAAAGAGTCGGAAGCGAGTGAACGAATAAACAACAAACAATTGTGAATGATTATAAATGATTAGAGAGAATGTATTGTTGGAGGCTTTCATGGCTGGAATCACTGGGTTGCTGTAGGTTTTTCGGGCTCACAACCTCTGAGGATGCTTGCCATAAATGCAGGCAAAAAGTCAGGAGGGAATGCTTCCAGAACATGGCCATATAGCCTGAAAAAACTACAACAACCCTATGAGAGAGAATGTTCCCGAGGTCAGTTTCACACAGGAACAAGACACGTGACGCAGATCAGGTTGGAACCACCGAATGGGAAGCCGGCCGCAAAGGATGGAAGAAAGGAAGGAAAAAAGGAAGGGAAGGAGGGAGGAGAGAAGGAAGAAAGGGAGGTGCATCCCTAAAGCACATTTTTGAAGGAAAGGAGCACATTCCAAAACATAGCGTGTGGCCAGCCCCATCCACGCGCCGAGTTTTCTTGACACATGCACACACGTCTGTCTGTCTATCTCTCTGTCTATCTCTCTCTCTATGTATCTATCTCTGTCTGTCTATCTATCTGTCCATCTTTCTCTCTATCTCTCTGTATATCTATCTATCTATCTATCTATCTATCTATCTATCTATCTATCTATCTCTCTCTCTGTCTATCTCTCTCTCTGTCCATCTTTCTCTCTATCTCTCTATCTTTCTCTCTGTTTGGCCACTGTGACGGACTGGATGAGGGACAACAGATTGAAACTAAATCCAGACAAGACAGAGGTACTCCTGGTCAGTCGTAAGACCGAACAGGGTACGGGGTTACAGCCTGTGCTGGACGGGGTCACACTCCCCCTAAAAGCACAGGTACGCAGTCTGGGAGTTCTCCTGGATTCATCGCTGAGCCTGGAACCCCAGGTTTCAGCGGTGGTCAGGGGAGCATTTCGCACAATTAAAACTTGTGCGCCAGCTGCGTCCGTACCTTGGGAGGGCTGACTTGGCCACGGTAGTACACGCTTTGGTTACATCCCGCTTAGATTACTGCAACGCTCTCTACGTGGGGTTGCCTTTGAAGACTGCCCGGAAGCTGCAGCAAGTCCAACGCGCGGCAGCCAGATTACTAACGGGTGCTGGGTACAGGGAGCACACCACTCCGCTGTTACGCCAGCTCCACTGGCTGCCAATTAGCTTCCGAGCACAATTCAAAGTGCTGGTGTTGACCTATAAAGCCCTAAACGACTCCGGCCCTGTTTACCTCTCCAAACGTATTCTCCCCTACGAACCATCAAGATTACTAAGATCATCTGGAGAGGCCCTGCTCTCGGTCCCACCGGCCTCGCAAGCGCGCCTGGTGGGGACGAGGGACAGGGCCTTCTCGGTGGTGGCCCCACGACTCTGGAACTCTCTCCCTCTGGAGGCCAGAACCGCCCCATCCATCCTAACATTTAGGAAACGGGTGAAGACGTGGCTGTGGAGTCAGGCCTTCGAGGAATGAGACAACACCATAGGACTCTGGATGGAAGTGGATATAGATCCATCTTATTAGGACGACTGACCACTGTAGTTTTATATTTAGTGTTTTTAAAGTTGTTTTGTAATTTGTGATATATGATATTTTAATGAATGTATATGTTTTTATGGCTGTAAACCGGGCTGAGTCCCTCGATGAGGTTGAGAAGCTCGGTATACAAAACTGTGAAATAAATAAATAAATAAATCTGTCTGTCTATTTATCTCTCTCAGTCTATCTATCTCTCCGTCTATCTATCTTTCTGTCTATCTCTCTGTCTGTCTATCTATCTCTCTGTCTATCTATCTATATCTCTGTCCATCTTTCTCTCTATTTATCTCTGTCTATCTCTCTGACCATCTTTCTCTCTGTCTATCTCTCTCTCTCTCCATCTTTCTCTCTATCTGTCTATCTATCTTTCTGTCTATCTTTCTCTCTCTCTATTTATCTCTCTCTGTCTCTCTCTCTCTCTATCCATCTATCTATCAATCTATGTGCTTGTCTGTATAGATGTGTGTTTGTGGGCGAGGGATTCCCTACTGGCTCCCTCTTCCAGAGCCCACGGCCACCCCCCACTGCTGAGGGGCCCGGACCCAGCCTGGCAGGAGGACCCCCTCATCCCCATCCCCCCCTTTGCCCCCAAGTGGGGTTTGTTTGGGAGGGAGCTGCAGGGCCTCCCCCCTCGCCCAGAGGGCACTGGGAAGCCCGCCAGGCACGGATGTGGGCCCAGCCTGGCACACGGGGAACCCCAGACAAGGCGACAAGGGGAGGGGATGGAAGGGGGGCGAGGAAGGGGGTGAGGGGAGCGGCCTCCCTTCCTCCCTCTGGCGCCCTTTGGGGGCCTTTCCTGAGGGGAGCAGGCGGCAAGGGGAGGAGACTCAGGGGCCCTTTC